ACATGTGTGTATTTCTGTTTAAGTCCGCTGGTGGACTACTAACATAAATTGGTCCATTAGTGAAGTATCAAAGTATGTAAGGTTTACAATGTTTAAGTTAAAACTTCAAAAAGTCGTAATTCCGTATATTAACCCATTACTTCATATACACGCCTTTTAACGCCTTTTTAACCCCCCCCCCCCCTTTTTGGTGTGTCAAATGATGAAAAAATGCCTTATTTAGGCCCCCAACACTTGTTTTTGTTTGAGAAATGTTGTTAAAAAAAGTGACCTCTTTTTCGGCGCGGCCCCCAACCAAAAGATACATCAGGGATGTGCCCCCTTCGGTGTTTGGGGGGGGTTTGAAGGGGGGCGGAGTCCCCCTCATCGCCACGAAAATTTTGGACTTTGTGAGAGGCTGTAATGACCTCAGATTGATCATGAAGGTAACGTGTAACCAACGCTGAGAAGCATTTGACTCTATCTTCAAATCCAGTTGAGAGAAGTTGCAGCACTTTGAAATCAATTTTTGATGGAAAAAATCAACGCGAAAATAGTGATTTTTCCAATTTTGAGATGTCCCCGGGGGGTTTGCCATGGTAACAGAAAATTTTAAGCCTGAGCATGCTGTTGCAAGGGCAATGGTCCAGTCAACATTTGTGCCAAGTTTAATTAGTGTTGAAGCAGTTTTTCATAGTATTAATAGTTAGCAATTTGAACTTGTAACGGGAGACTTTTCAATGAAAACAGTCCATTTTTTCACAAATTGCTCAATGAAGTAATGGGTTTAAAGTGCTATCATTATAACCCGTCTTACGTAAGTCATATAATTTTCAAGTCCCGTAAAGAACGAGAACGATTTTCAGGGTGTCAAGTATTTCAATGTTTTTTTCTCCGTATTTTCAAAATATAAATCAATGATATATATTTTAAAAATAAAATCGAAACGATCAAAAATGTACGAGTATGTGTAGCAGTACGATGTTGAAAAAAATACTAGTAATTCAATTTAAACATTTCAATGATGTTCTCCCACTAACGTTATACTTGAGAATTATCTAAAACTGGCCGTAAGGAAAATCCTGCTTCCTGATGATAAAGAGTAGAATAATCTGCTGAATTTAATATAAACATGCCCCTTTCATTAATTTTGTATTTGTCGTGTAACAGTAAATATGAAAGAGACAGCGGATTACACCACGTTAACAATGTGCAGCTTACATACTTGACATATATAGCACATTTTCATAAAAGACAATAATGTTCTAAAACAAATCTGTAAGCATAACTGCTTCATTTAAGCTTTGGATAAAAGTCGAAAAAAGAGAAAGGACATGAGTTAATTTCAATACGTTTCGTGGTGTTTTTTTTGTTTGTTTTTTTTTGTTTTTTTTTTGTTGTTGTTGTTGTTGTTTTTTCCATTTTCTTTTTAATTTTTTTAATATTCTCAATAACGAAACTGGATCTTCCTCTCTGGTATTGATATATGTATTGTAAAACAATGATCGAACCAACAATCTGCTTGCACTCTGGGTAATCTGAAATTTTCAAGTGCGAATAAAACTATTATAATTAGTAACATAACCAGTAAAAATAGTTAAATGCATGGTTTTTTCCCTTTGATTTAGAATCGCCCATGAAACTTTAAAATGTCAACATCGGTGAGTTTTTCATGGTGCATATTGTTTCGCAAATTCATCTTTGTTCATTTCAGGAATAAATGTTTGAGCTGTTTCATCTCTCCACCTCTACCAAATGAGCGCCCAAGCTTTATAATTATGATACTCAATAAGGATGAACTTTTATCCCTTTTTTGGGTACAAATAGATTTGGAGATAAAAAACACGCTATAATATCCCATTTCAATTTGGTATAATTTTTACCTTTGCACTGAAAGAACTGGAAAACAGCAAATTTTAACAGTAAATCAAACACTACCAGCCAAGGTGTTTCGAAACAGTGAAATGGAAAATTGCTTCGTTTGAAATGTTTTCACGCTGTTCAAATGTCTTCACAGTGAGTCAGATTTGCTTGCTATAACCTTATTTAATATATATTTTTTCATTAACACGTATGTCACTAACTATTGTATTTCTTTCACGATGAACGACTGAGATATTATGTTTATTTTGAATATCAATCTGAATATTTACACGCCTTTCATCTGCCTTTCCAAAGCGATAATTAGGATGGTTGAAAAATATCATTAGAACAGAAGATAACAGTACAATAATTTTTACATATATAAAAACACCAACACAAACACAGAAAATAGGAATTTAAATTAGATTGCCAAATGGCGATAATTGACAGGTATCACAATATATACTGATGTTGTGAAAACATCAATAGGCTTCATCAGAGTTGTGGTGCATTTTTAAAGTAAAATAGTTGTGTTGTTATTTTATCAATTCAAAGTTAAATCTACGACGCCAAGTGTCATGTCCTTTATAATGGACAGTGTAATAAAAGCAAACCAGTGTTTTGTTACACCATGCATTGCGCACTACATTGTTAAACATTAACTCTTTTGATAGAGTCGTTGGCGGACTCATCAATACATTTCCGTTCACATGTACAGGGTTAAGTTAATATGTTTTCAAGAAAAGGAGAACATTTATATAGATACCTGCTTGCCTGCATTATCATTATACATGCTTTTTAAAGCACGGCATCAAATGTGCATGTAAATAAATTGCATCTGTATAAAAGCTTACTTTACCAGAATATCTATACTACGTGACAGGTGATTGTTTATGAACTACAACATATATTTAGGACAACTGGTACGTGGCGATTAATAATGGCATGTTTTGTTAAAGAACCACAGATTGTTTTACAGCTGCAAAGCACTAATAATCAATATATTTCTATGTATTTCTGTCGAGACAATAGTGATGGTGATATATTTCCGCTGTGTCAGAAACGATTTCATGTTATTTGTGTACGTTCCACACCCACATATTGCCGTTCACCTGCAAGATTTGACATTCAACTGTTCTATGAATTCATCAGGCCTCTATTCTGATGACTGATAATTATATAATTTATTGAATTATCCTGCAATATGTTTGATAAAAAAAAAGACCATGACATTCCTAAGAAATACATTTTGAAAGAATATCAAACGTAATACAAGTATTTTAACATCACTTGATCTTGTATCAGTTTATGGGTATAACATATCCATATTTATTTTTAATATTTAATATGAAAAATGTGCTGCTTTTTGAAATTTCAAATCAAATTTCAGTAAAAGTTTCCTTTGTCATTTCTGAGATTTTGTCAGAAAGTCAAAACAAAGTGTCTGCTTTAGAGGAATGAAGATGTTCGGTATAAATATGATCTATGATGTCATCTAAAAGACCGATGTGTGTACAGCTGGTCTTAACAGACAAATTCTAGCAGCTTGAAATGTGAGACATATGTCAACAAATTCGCCTTAGTGCATTAATTAGTTATCTCATTTAACTTAGTACTTGTCGATATTGCACTACGATGACGAAATATTTGCCAAAAATCAGTGTTAATATGTTTTAGAAAGCTTTCCATGATCTTTACAAACTATTTTGTCCAAGCCGTGCAGTAACTTCTTGTTTAATTTAAACATATTTAATTCTTCATTTACAAGAATAATTTTTACATTGACATACAAATGTATTTACAATCAATGCAACAAAAGAATAAGACTGGAAGCAATCTCATACATATTGAAGTATTTTCCCAAATATATAAAGTATCAGTAATTCTTGTTTATGCCTTCTTATTGATAATGGCCTGTGAATGAGGAAAAATATAATAAATTTCAGTGACCAGAATCATTAAACCCTTTACGGTCATTTTCGATGACCACAACAGATGATCAAATATATGGGAAAATTTCCATAATTCCATTTAAAAGGCATCAAACACAATGCAACGAAAGTATATAAGTTACTTTCTTTTTACACTATACAAACACTGCAGACAACGGCATGTTTATGTCGGCTTATCTTGGTCTACACTGGTCTCAAGGTAATCAGTTTACACCAGCAAGCATATGGTTAAAAAAGAGAAAAACAAAATTTATTCTTAAACTGATTTATTAGTACATTGTGTTGTTTATGTGTTGTTTATATACAAATATATATACAAAAATGATTATAAAAAGCACATGTATGTATAGGTTTATAATAAAACTATGCAATTACTAAAAATACAATGTTAAAATAGAGGACAAGATGTAAGTAAATGACAATTGAACGTATACATATAACGTTTTCGATAGAAAAACAATTAGGGAATACAAAAACAAATAAACCGTAAGAATTAGTGGTCATTTTTGATATTCTTAAGATGTTTTGAAAATATTTTGTTAATTTCATTTAAATAGTTTAGTTTCTTTGTACAAAATAGGTATTTTCAAAAAGGAAATGAATAAATTTTGTCAAACGTAATGACTCTTAATATTCATTTATTTACTTGTCACCAACTTTGTAATGGGCATATGACGACATTCCAGCTTTATAGGAGGAAAACCTCAGGTGCTTCGCTGATTAATTAAGATAAATATCCGCATTTCATATTGTTGCATGACTTCGACTTATGTAGCTGCCTAAATGTGTGCGTCTGTGTGTGTGTGTGTGTGTGTGCGTGTGCTCGCGCGTGCGCGTGTGTGTGTGCGTGCGTGTGCGTGTACGTGCGTGCATTCACGCGCTCGTGTGTGTGGACCACTCTACATTTATTACGTTTAAATAGTAGAAACATTAATGAATTCATAAATAAAAATGTCAGTGGCATTATTATCGCATAGCGACATACTTGACAAACTTATGAGAGTAGCGTGTATTTTAGAAACAGTACCTGAGAAATTATGAGTACAAGTACAGAATCTTTTTGCATTTATACCGAGTACTGAGTGTAACGTTACTACCGGTAATCAGAAAAACACAGTACTTGTTCCTACAGTACTTAATACGACTTGTAACCCATTCCTAGTAAATACTGTGGTTTTTAATCGATTAATCAAGATATTTTGAAAAACATCAATATACATGTGAGTTTTCGTTATTTCCGTTTTCCGCCCCTCAAAAGAAAACTTCAGGTAGGACAATTACAGGGGTAGGTTAAAAAGGCGAAATTAAAATATATGTTATGCTTCATCATGATATCTATACATACTTCATTTCCCAAATGCATCAGAGCATAACTACGCAAATAAGAAATGTTGAAAGGCAATTTCAATGTAAAGGCAATTCCGCTTGATATTGTGATACATGTAAACACGATGTCAATAAACCAGTTTTGTCGATTTCATTGAACAAATAATTTGTGATAGCAATATTACAAATTATGGCCACCAGTAAAGGATATGATTATGCCTTTTTATCAATAAATTCTACTACACAAAGATTATATTCAAAGGAGAGATGCAGAAAATCGACTTTGACATTCAAGATTGACTTTATAAAAGGTATTGCAATGTCTTGTGAGCACCGCATTATTTAATGATATTCTTTTAAAGCCACTGGTGGTCTAAATTGACATTTTTAAATAACATTCTAGTCTAAAACAATAAATACCAGCAAGAAGTAGGTTATGTCATAAAAATGTTTGATTTGTGATTTTAGCACTAAAGCGGTTACGTGTCCCATGTTAACAATTCTTTAAAGCACTATTTTGTCTTGCTGTTTTTTGTTATTTTTTGTTTGTTTGATTTTTTTCTTTTTGTTAATATTTAAGAACAAGAAATCCGTTGAACATATTCCAAGTTTCAGAGTCACTTTCCCAAAGGGCGCTCCCGCTTGTTCTGGCAGCTTTAACTGCAACCTTATCCAATGCATTCAGTATGGTAGAAGTACTATAGGAATGGCATGTTGACCATTTACTTGTATCATCGACTCCTAGGCCTCTAAAAATTGCGTGGTCATTAGCAACAATCTCAAAATACAAATATTTGTCCCGATAGATGCAAAGATGAAGATTAAACATATAAAGTCCTCTAACAGGTGCCGTGAATATTCCGGTGGATTTGTCATACGCCGATCCATGGTTTGACATTATTGATGAAAACACCAGTGTTTCTTTTGTAGCAGGTGACCTATTCTTGATTCCTCTCGCACTAAAGTGAATTATATCCGCTGTTTCTGTTAAAATACAAAAAGACAGAAATTATGCAGATCAATATTAACCAGATTGCAATTAAATGAAATTATTATCTCATTAACAACTACACACCATATAAAAGAATTATCAAATCTTAAAGCACTTTCAAACACTCAAACACTATAGCGTAGCCACGAGTGAGATTACTGTTTTTAAAGTTCAACAGATGAAATAAAATAGCATCATACACAAGCAAACACATTTTCTTTTTATTTTATGCTTAAAAACAATTTTAAATGAAATTTCCTTAATATTTACTTAAATAATTATTAAAATGTGTTTTCCCCACTAGTAGCCTCATTTTAGTCGATTTTTTTCATAAAATACAAGAAGTCTTGAGCTGAAAGATTAGGTGGGCAATCAACGTTAAATGGCGATGATATTATTTACTTTATTCAAAAAATATAAATGATAACTTGCTTTAATAATGAAAACAGAAGAAAAAGTCACACAATCCGACCGTAACTCCGTTACTTACGGCGAATTTATATTAGACCAGGCTATGCGAAATGTTAGCGGCGCCAGTTTTAAAAGTTGTGTATTTCTTAGGAGGAATATAATTGTGTTTGATTCAGAGGGATATCATTTGGATTTGTTGGTCATACATCGGAAACTTATTTGAGGATTGTTACAGACAATAAATAAGCGTTGACAAATGTGTAAACATTCAAAAAGCGGGCAGGAAATTCGAAAACATGGAATTGTTGAACGGCTGACTTACGAACGCTGGGTTGCTTACTTATTTATCGGATTGCTTTTCTAGTTTATATATTGCATTAGGCAGTTATTGCTCGTCTGATTTTTAAATATGCTTAAATGTCATCAAGAGCAGTTTTGCATGTGGAAGGAAATGGATTTTTTAGACAAAAAATTAGAGACGATATTCGGTGATTGGTAATTTGAATGAATTGGAGTAAGTTTTCTTCTTTTTATTACTTTTGAAATTTAAGTTTGTTATCCATTTCATATTCGCTTTTCTCTAAACAGTCCCGAAAATGTCAGAATTGTCAGCAAAAATAAAATTCAGGTGCCACATGGGGAAAATATTATAAAAAAAATATCGTCATGGAAAAGTGTGAAATTAAATTTTGATAATTTTTACTGTGAAATTATCAAATATAATTTTCACAGATAAATCAGTTATCAACCCAAACGCATTAAAAATTTGCTATTATGTTCGTGTATAAATGCATGATTTAAATGGGCATAACTCTTTCACCACTTGTTTGCAGGGAAAATTGAACTAAACATTTGTTGGTATAACATTTAATGCCAAACAATCGCAATATAATTACAACTATTAAAACTTTATGATGCGGACACCAATATTTTCATAGAAAATTCGCTTAATAAGATGCATTACTATAACATTACAAAGTTATTGCATTTAATATTGAACTTAACATGTATTTCGATGTAATTATAAAATACTAACGAACCAAATATAAACACAATGTATGTAATCCATCAAAATTTATTCTGCGATTCACTGAAAATGTGCTAAAAAGGGACATAACACTATCAATAATGAATTGGTTAATCAAATACTTAAACAATTAAACAAATATTCTAAATTGTACAAGGAAGAAAACGGTGTTTAACTACTAAAAAAATACTGGCTAGGGGCTGCATGTTTATGCTGCTGTTTAATTTTCTCCCTTCGACATAGCCTTTTAAAGCATGTGTGTACATGGACTTTTTAGTATATGCCGAGTTTAGGTCTTGAAGGGTCCCTATAACGAGAAATTTAGGGGATATCTAAGCGATGAAATTTCATTTAGATGTTATTATATTATATTTATCCATATTTATGAAAATAGCATCACATATTGAATCTAAAAGAAATTGCATGAAGTCTAATGTGAACACTGCTTTAAATAGTTCAAAAGTTATTTACTATTTGAAAAACAAAACATAGCCAGGCGTCTTTCTTGTTTTTAAACAATTTCATTTCTTTGGATTTTTTCTTCTTTTGTTTCATCATAACTTAACAAAAGATATAATCAAGGAAAATATCGCTTTAAAATGATCTGTATGACGATAATACAAACACAACAGCTTAAATGATTTAGTGTAACAGGAAGTTATTATATTCACACCTAAAAGTTAGTATCGGGCGATCTTTTAGATCCCTTTAGATATTTTAAATGCGTTTTATGTCAATGTTAGAGGATAATAATTATTGCTTTTAACAGTTTTCCCCTAAACTCTACTCTTTCAACTTTCATTCGAATATTTAAAATATGAAAACCAAGATCAACTAGGAAAGGCGGCGTTCAATGACCGCAACCTCCACGCGAACCAGCAACAAGGTCCAGCGGCCAGGAGCCCAGGAGGACCCCAAACAAAAACAGGATAGGGCACAAAGCAGAACACGGACAGGATAATCACTCCAACAATACATAACAGGACAAAATAGTTACCGACTAGGAAATCAAATACAATTTATTGATTAATATGCCCACAAAGTATATGGGCACAGGAGAAGGGGACTTGAAGTACGGGGAAATATCTTACCGCCGAACAATCAATTGAGGATGAAAATATAACAACATTGATTGCATGTACGATTTTACTTTTTACGGCCGGCACACGGCACAAACAACACGATTGTGAGTTTTTCATAACAAAGTCAAATGCCTAACGCGCATAATAGCATTTTGGTATAAAAAGACTCGCCAACTAGTTCCTAACGTCGGTGAAAATAAAAGAATCAGGTTGATTGACTCTATATTGTTCATATTTTAAATTTATCTATGTTTTATGTACATAGATCAGATTACGTATAAAGGATATTTGTCATTGTTAACAGAAGTATGCAATTTATTTCTATACTCAATAAAATAACACATTAGAAAAAACTTTAAAAAGTGATATATCTTTTAAATATTTTATTCTAAGGTATGTATGAACAAAATGAAATAAATGTTAAGTTTTCACTGATCTTGATTCATTTAGCGCTTCTGGAAAGATGATTGTAGTTTATTGGACATTTTCTATCATTATTTGAATATTGACGAGGTTTAATAGCACTTTAACATTGTTCAAAGCATAATTCAATCTGAAAAAAAGAGATATTTTCAAATAAATTGTTTATATCATACTTCTTTTCATTTTGTACGTCATTCCATGGCTCTGTAGAAAGGCCTAACAAGTGTTACTGTCATCCTTAATAGAATCCGTATAGGCTTGTATAAATTGAAATCTTAAGATAATTCAAACTGAACCTCGTTAAAAACTTTGATATTTCGGATTCCAGACAGATATATCGAAGCAAATGTACTTAATTTGCTCATATGTGCTTACTCCCTACCTTCATAACATTTGATTGATTTGATTGAAAAATATGTCCATTGTAGACAAATTCAATTTAATAATTTTCAAAACACTTGTACTATGTATAGTAACAAAATTGTCTATGATTTCAACTGGTTCAAACGCATGTTCTCGACCCTTTCCATCAAACTTTAGATAAGGACCTCGAACACAATAGTAAGAATAAAAACTGAACGGAAACGGTATTTCGTTCTATCCTATGCTAGGAATCACAACATTTAAACAAAAAGTAATTTAAATTAAATTCAATGCTTGGAGTTGTTGACTAAGTATTTTCCAATACATCGAGAGAGAAAAAAATCTAAATTTAGTAAATTTATAGATATAAAAGTAAACAGTATATAATTTACATATTTATTATTATGGGTACAAAATGTCTACCTATTTACATTATGTCTGATTTGTTTATAATATAGCATCGGACAATTTCAAATTGATTACGAATGTCAGACATATTTTCAATCATAATTTTACCGAAACAGACTCTATTTTCCTTTGGATGTCAAATATATTACATTCAATATATGTTTTGAAAGATTTGTTTACATTTAAAACATCTGAAATCGCGTTGTAAACCATGTTTAATTCGTATTAAGTCCGTTATTATTATGAATAATAGCCGAAGAGGTTATTAATGCCATGTGAAGGCCGTAAAAAGTCGCCCGTAAATATCAAAGATGTTACATTTTCGATTTTTTGAAGATCGTTCAGCACGAAATTACTTTGTTAACATGTTACGTGGTATTTTCGTTTCTTATATTGGACCTTTTTCCAACTAAGTTAGATATGTTTCCTGCTTTACAAATTTGTCGTTTGACGTTTTGTCTGTGAAATGCAGGTTGCATCACCTCAAATCCCTTCTCAAAATTTCAAAATTTCATTTTATTTAGTATTGCCAATTGTTTTCTCGTTTAGGGCAAACGCATTTTTTGAATTGAGGTCCAAGAAATAGCACTGATTTCATAATAATCGCCTTATGGACACATTTGCGGATGTTTCTAAAATCAAAATTTTACAATTTCAACTGAGAACTGCTTAACCAGGTGCTAAAAAGCGTGGACGTGAACTTGTACTTTCTTGTTAGAGGCTCGATCAAACCGAGCCTGCAACATTTTCAATTTTGTCGTTTTGGGCGTTCTTTTGGGTTTCCGTTTTACTCTATTTTAAGTACGGATCGTATGATTTTTTATGAGAACTTAAACGTAATTTGTACAAACACAGCTTTTTTGAAAATGAAAGAAAACAATACAACAATTTTATATCGAGAAACTTTATTTTACAGTACTGGACGTTTTAAGTTTTAATACACATACGGGAAGAAACTCTGTTAGCTACTGTTCTGTAAAGTACAGAGACAGACATTTCAATATAGGAATATCAAAGTAGATCTTATTAAAATAGTGCAATTTGTCAAGTGTATTAAAGACGTTTATACACGTCAGAGATAGGCCGGAAAGTGATAATCTGTCTAGAAATAAATAATGCCCTCGGACTGAAGCCCTCGCGATCTTATTCATTTCGTGGGCCCATTATCACCCTCCGGCCCTACTCTTCCGTATATCAACCTCCTGATTAACACTGCTGGGACCAATATTATTTCTTACACAATCGTACGAAATTATTGTGCAATGTAGATGTAGTCTAATTAATTACTCTACATCGTGAACGATAACTATTAATATGAAAACTAAATGAACTGATATAATACGTTTCAATATTTAAATACAGTTCATGTCAAAATTTACCTTTCTCATCTTTTAAGTCCTTCAGAGTATTTTCAATATCCACAATTCTTGATGTTATTTGTTTAAGCATTTTGTTAGATTCAGTGCGTTCAGTTGTTATATAAGCCAATGTGTCATGAAGGTTTCCTTTGGTTTCATCAACATCCGCCTTAAGTTTGTCCACTAAAATCTCCACCGTAATCATCTTTCTTAATGATTGCTCCTCATAGTGAAATTTTGAACATGATTGTTCTGCTGATAATAAGGCAAAAGAGCAGAAAAATATTCCTAGGTATCGAAACATCGTCACTTACTGGAATGTTTATTATTATCTCCCTGTAAAGTTTATGAAAGATTTGTACTTTAGGTAGCGATGTTTATACAAACCATCATAAGGGCTGGTCATAATTTTCTGTTAACATTACTAATTGTTTGTGATTACTATGACATGTGAAAAAAATAATTTAAGACGATACGTTTTGCAAGAATAAAAAGAGAAATATTTTTTTCAAATTTATTCCTAAGAAATTTATAAAGTGACATATTAGACAAAATGGTGTTTTATCTCTATTTTGCTTTAAAATTCTAGATCAAACTTTAAAAAACAAGTCTCTTATGGTGTATTGCATGTCGAAACAATTTGTTCAGCCACATTTTTAGATACATAAATCTTCTTCTTTTACATCTCTGAATATGTTTTGCGGACGTGTCTTGCTTTATATATTTGTATCTAACTAAGACACTGCATTGAATATTGCAGTGAACAATATCCGAATAGAGAGTTAGGTCAGATCGTAATGAAGTAATTCCTGCTTGCAATGCGTAATAACAACCTTTATTTTAGTCAATCTGACACATTTGTTATTGCAAGCAGATATTGAAAATCACTCTTTCTTCATTTGTTCTCGAAACGTCATGATTTTGTTATTCGGCATATCAATACCTTTTTTATGTTATGTTAATTACACTGAAGATAATTGACACTATATTTTATCAGCTTTACACAACTTAGTATCTAGTTTAGCGCGGAGTAAGGTAGTCTAGTACTGGTGTAACTCTCCAAGAACGATGGTTAGGAAACTACCCGCCTATATGACTGAAATACTGTTGGGAAAAGGCGTAAAATTAAACAAACAAACAAACAAAAACAACTTAGTATCAACCAGGATTGAACGTTGCGAACATCCCTTTATGTAAAAACATACAGAAGTATTTGTAACTTGTAAACATATTTTTACAGATAATAAGATAACTTTCAACCGAGGGATAAGAAACAAACGTTTTTGTATTCGAGATACACTGTGATACAATATGTGTTCGCAATTTTCCTTTAAATATCAAATTACAATGTCCTGTCGCACATATCCATCCAAATATTTTCTTTCGATGCATGTTAAACATGATATTGGGAAATCAACACTCTGAATTCGTCATGTGTTATACAAGATTACTTCAGTGACACCCATAGGATGAGAAAAAAATATTGATAGATTAAAGTTCACAAATGAGAGAGCCACATAATTGGCTTGCAAGATTTAAATAGGGTTAAATTAGTACTTTAAACCCAACTAAGGTTTATATTCAAGATAGTTTCCAAATAAATATACATAAAATATTTCTTTCATAATGTGTAACCTAACTTGTTTAATTTATCAAACATGAGATAATAAAGGGATAGCAGTTATCTTTTTAAAAAGTGTATTAGTTTAATGCCTGGTATATTATACATTTTCCACATAATTGTGTTTATCTAACGGACAGTTTTTGGTTGTTCTTTTTTTATTTTTTTTTATTTTTTTTTTTGCTATTCACTATTATGAATAAGAAATATCAATAAAAGAAAATGAATTTAAAAAATGGAAGGTCAATGTCTCTTTTAATATTGATGTACTCTGACTTTCGATTTCATTAATTCCGTATTAAATTCTAAAAACAAAGAGTCAATGCTACTTTCATAAAACACGTGTTACATGTAATACGAGAATTGATAAAAATTACCCGGACTTGATAGATGTTTCATAACCCGTTGAAATGCCCATAATGCCTCAGAAATTCTTTTGTTTTTATTTTTCAAAAACTTTTTATTTGAGGTGTACCCCTGATAGCTGATTTATTTCAGGGATTTTATGTTAAGTCGTTCACGTACTTCGCATCAGGACATTACACATGCATTTAATAACACTTTTCGCTACCTAGATGATATCCTTAGCATGAATCATCCTTATTTCGATCAAATGGTTATTACAATATATCCCAGTGAACTAAAATTAAATAAGACTACCTCTTCAGGCATTAAATTACATCTTGTTTTAGATTTAGACATTTCTTTCATTAACAATATCATAGTAACCGAAATATATAATAAAAGAGATGATTTGATTTTAATAGTGTTAGCTATCCACATTTAGATGGAGAAACACAAATGACCAACCTAAGTCCATTTCTACTCTTGTACGTAACTATGACTTGCAAGATGCAGTTGTTGTTGTTGTTTTGTCCGTCTAGGAAAGAGTAAAAAAGTCACAGCGTGCCAAGTCTGGAGAATATTATAGTGGGCAGCTACTCGTTTTTCACGAGCGGATTTAACTTGCTACTTTTTCTGGTCAGATGTTAGCATATGGGTTTTCTACCTGTCAGTTATTCGCCTTAATTTCCAGTACTTCTTTAGAATATTATGATTTGACCTGTTTGATATCTCTTTCTGGGCTATCTGGGTAAGTGAAAGGCTTGCATCTTTGTCAATGATGGGCGTGACATAATGAATGTTTTGCCAGTAACTATAAAGCGTTTTCTACTAGACTAATATGCATCTTTAATTGATGTGTGTCCGTTTTTAAATGTATGCAACCACTTCGAAACGCAGAAACAGTTGCATAAGAATTTCACTGTTGTCATGAATATAACAAATGCCATTCAAAACATCTATAGCAGATTTTCCTACTTTTGCTTGAGCTTTTAAAAAAGCCCGTATTTCAGATCTTTTAACTGAGCGTTTACATGCCATATTTTACATGAAACTACTCGTGTAAGGTATATTTAAATGTAAATAAAATTCTTAATCGGTTGACTGCACACATGGTTTTGATATCATTGAAAAACAGATACTTTGAAGCATAACATAGTTTATATAAACCCAAAAATAAAGAGCTAAATTAAAAACTATACTTCCTATTGCATTATATATTGACCCATCCTCGTACAGGTTTTTTTGTGGAAAAGTGAATGTCAAAAATGAGTGATAAACATATCTTCAGCATCTTCATCATCTTCAATTTCCAATGTAAATAAATTGTGTTGCCCTGGCTTATGTCCTACCTCATCTGGTGTATATCTGTGTTCTCTTGAAGATGATGTATGCAAGTCCTTGTCACTTTTGTACCTGCAGTCGATTGTAGCGATATTCACCATTGGTCGCTCCGGTTCATTTCTAATATTCTAATTAAAAAACAAAATTTATACAAATAGGCCAAGATGATTTGAACTGATGATATAAGTTCATTTGTAAATATTAATCTGTTACGACTGTACGCTTAAATAGACAAAAGATGGAATATTACATATTTGTGTATCATTTTTGATATACAAAATGTATTCTTAACTGTTAAGGTTATTATTATTGCTGTTTGTAATGAACAGTTTAAAGTAGACTAGAGGAATGTGTCTTTGAACGTAAAGCTTATATCAAGAAATATGTGTGTTAATATTATATGAATTTTGTTTATGCCCCTAATAAAATACTGGGAATAAATATAATGTGATGGAGTAAGTAAGTCATCTATTCCTTGTCCGACCAGTAACTAGAGAATGCTTAGGCCTACAGGCCTAGGACTTGGTATGAAGGTTGGTCATGATTAGTAGCTGACCCTTATTCATTTTATGGTTTGAAGGTCGCCATAGGAATAATCGCTTGTCGTCAGTAACTATGAAATATTTTGCGTATAGTCCGAAGTTTAGTGTGGAGGTTGGTTATGACTAGTAGATGACACATTGATTTATAGATCATGAGGATAAAGGTCAAGGTCACTATGGTATTGACCTCTTAAAATATAACTACAGTAAAGTATAACTATAACTAAAGAAAGCTTTGCCTACAGTCATTAGATTTGATGTGTATGTTGGCCATTACTAGTAGATGACCACTATTGATTTTCTGATTAAAACGTCAACTGTCAAAGTCACCATGGCTTGGGCCGCTCAAACCTTGTCCGGCCAAAATCTAGAGAGAGCTTTGGCCTACAATCATTAGACTTGTTTTGGATGTTGGTCTTGACTAGATGAAAACCACTATAGATTTTAAGATCAGATATTTTGAGGTCATTAAGTCAAGGTCGCAGTAAATTAAAAACTTGTCCAATCAAGACGTCTGCACATATTCTGCTGGGGTGTGGGGCAAAACTGTTCGCATTTCTAGTAAAATATAACTTATAATCTTTTATAAAAAACATAACATGAGCTGTCAGTAAGACAGCGAGCTAGCCTAATCTCAGTGCTTGTTAGTAAAACAAGAGCAAGGATAATGAAGATTTTTTCTTAGTTCAAAAAGTGCCATAATTCAATAGTTATAGAAGATACAAACTTGCACCAAAGTGTGACGACGGTGTAACATTAAATGTTGACCCTGTTGAAATGTGACCCCATGGGTCATTTTGAACGTTGAAAATTTACCCTGCCAACATTTTGACATTAAAATTTGATGAAAAAAGTCATTAAAATCTTATCAGTTGTCGACTCGATAAAAAACGGGTTCATTTTAATAGTTTGTGGAATTCTTCAAGTTAAACGTTCTGTTTGATCTGTCTATATTAGAGAAACACATAGAAAAAAATCAGAATCTCCTACAGCACCGTGTATATCCAGTAACGCCGGATTGTGAACATAACGCACTATTCGTGAAATAAGTGACGCAGAATTTGTGAAAATTGTGATATTTAATGTATCAAATCGCACTTTTCGCCAGTTACCGGGGAACTTTATTTATGTACATCATTATCAATGTCATTAAAAATGTATTATGTACCAGGTATCCTCCATTTATTACACAAATTTTGCGTTACTTATTGCACGAATCGTGCGTTATTTTCACATTCCGGCGTTACTGGATATACACAGTGTACAGGCTTCATTAAAATATTTTAAGAGGCCGAGCCGAGGATAACTGCGCCGAGATAGGTATTAAGATGATCTATATGTTGGACAGGGTACATTTAACAGAAGTTCAAAACAATGATTTCTGACAAACCTGTTTGTGCAAAATTACTCGGGGTCAGATGCAAGAATGATCAAAATATTTGTATTGAACGACGAGGCCAGTAGTGCTACTCTTATTCATGACAAAAGTAGGGAATTTATTAATTATATATACATTGCAATGTTGGACTAGACTGAAATGTATACCGGCTGTAGTAGATCAGATTCGATTTTTTGCTATTTTACAGATCCTGTTTCTGGCTTATATGATAAAATTTAATTTAATAATTACATTATTTAATCATTCAGGGGTTTGTGCTACAAAAATATCATAGATTTTAATAAGTGGTGTAGCTACGCCGAAATTGATAGTATGCACAATCACGCTGAAAGAGATAATAAAGATCGTGTCAGTAACACCCCTCCACCACTTCCTTACAGCTCAACGATTTCCATAATTCATAGATACTTAAAAATGTTTTCCGTGTCTGTTAATTTAAGGTCACAAAGTAGGATTTAAATCAGAGCGTTTTATACTTGCACGATTTAACAGAACACTTCATTTCGTGTATGGTAAAATTCGTGTAAATTAATATAAATGGTCGTAGACATTGAGGGGGCAGCACCCCTGGTGCCCTGCCTCCTCCCTTGAAACCACTAGTGATAACAGAAGAAGACGTTTAAATACTTTTATTTCTGCTCAAACGGACAACATGTAAAAAGTATACAATGTGATATGTAACGGTATTTACGTAAACAGCATATAAGCGGTGTATACTGCATGACACGTTATAAGAAGTGTTATTAGAACGTGGTGCGCTTGAATGTTATATGAAAACAACAAAAATATTTATATTACATTTGTATGGCCATAGGCTTATTGCGCAAAATTGCAAGGATTGAGTTCAAATGGTCAAAACTTAATGTTACACTGGTGCAAGGGTGAGTACAATAGCTCTCCGAATTTTTCGAGTAGTCGAGCTAAAGACTAGTGCAGTGCCAACATTCCTATGATATTAATTATGACAATTTACTTACCTCATTTCTACATTTTGTTCTCCTTAATATCCTATAATAGAAAATGTTGATATTGTATAATTTGATGAAATCAGTACTTGTCAAATCATATTGCGATCAATCTACAAAACGTAAAATGTTTCCCATGCAAAAAACGTATTTTTAAGTTCATTTATGTATTGAATATTTTCAAAATTTGTGGGTTTTTTTCCTACCTAACCTATGTCTTTACATTTCTGATTAAGGTGTTATTGAGAAGTTCTTTTACGAGGGCTTTCTAAATTCACACTTTTTAATGCAGGCTTGAACATGGTCATGTAAACGTTTTTTTCTTTAACGAACCATTAAGAATGTTTGATAACTTTTATTTACTACAGTTGGAAAATATATCACGCTGTATAGGCACTTCTCTATATTATGTTACTTACATTATAATCCGTATTATAATGGGAACGAACACAAGTATCAAAATTATTATCAAACACACGACATTGCATTCATTTGTTGTCCCTGTTGTTGTTGTGATACATTTTTGGTCGACAAGAGTTTCATTCAAACGGCACCGTCTGGATATGTCACAAACTTCCACGTGACTCAGATTCCTTTTCAATGCATGTTCGTAAAAGTTAATATACTCCATCATTGGAGGTGGGCAAGGTGCATAATTAAGCATGTCATGTTTTAATCCACAAAATAACGTTCCGCATGTCTTATAGAAACCCATTATTTAATCACATATATATTATTCAGGCATTGTTTAAACACTTTAACTATTCGCATGTTATATCTCATTAACATAGTCCAGATACTGAACAATAAAATAGAAAAATACACAGATAAAATAAACAAATGATATAACCGTTAGATATACAAAAACAGTGCAGGTATATCTTATGTGTAGTACACCCAATAGATCAAGTTACGGTAATTTAGTGATATCTGTTACAAGTATAACAAAGCATATGATTTATTTAAAAGTGAAGTCCCGACATAAAATCTTTAAGTTTAAAAATTATAAAGCAATAGGAAACTTACAGGCAGTACATTTGTCTTATTGACCGAGGCAAGACAAGACTAGAAATTGACTATTCACAAGCTAACAGGCTATGAATGGTTTTACTTTTATTAATAAATCATGCAATATGAATAGGTATGCATAATCCGCACACTTAACAGAACAATTGAAATATGAAACCAAAACGAAGTGTAGTTTGCTGCGGTTTACGGTTTATTCGACATAAAAAAATGATTAACCAAGAAAGGGAGAAGAAAAGAAAGCAAGTCTCTCCTGTGTCTGACAAAGGGAAAATTGGTTCCAATGGTTACATCTCAAGCTTGATGAAGCTAGAAATTAACCAAACCCATCCCAATAAAAAAATCAGTCCCCAGTCTTTCATAGTAGTGTTTTATTTTATTTAATTTTTCGTAGACTTTATAGCGTGATAATTTCCTAATTGTGTAAGATCAGAAAAGTCGTTTTAAAATTATAATCTTAGAAATGCTAGATTATCAATATCATTAAAAAGTGTATTGTGGACAGAAATTTACAATTTCAAGTTAATAATGTAAATGAGAGGTTAATTAAAACTTAAATAAAAGTACTTTAGAATCAGTATCAGATTATCATATAATTCAATCACGTGGTATTAACCAATGGTACCTTAATTCATAGACAGAATATTCGTATTTAATCATAACAGTTATTTAAAGCCATCAAGTAATTGCTGATTTAATTTATCAGTATATTAAAAATCTATTTCTGTGAATTTCTAAAAGTATATATTGTGTTATGATAAGCACCATAAAGACATTGATCTCAAATGCCAGAACGTGCAAATTTAAATCAGTTTAGAATCAAGAGTTTTGTAAAGCCAATGACTTTATATCGTTAACTTAAACACATTTCAGGACAATTTTGCACTTATCATACAAAGGTTTCCTTAGTTATATTGTTACTCGTGTCTTACAATTCGACCATTTGATATTAATGCTAAATGTATTTTTAAGGCCATAAATTAAGTAAATGTACTTGTGACGTATAAATATTTTCTGTATATTGGCGATTGTATGGAATTGCCATATATCGTCATTCTAAATGGACTGCATGTGTTGTGCCCTTTCTATACAAAAATGACATCTCCCCGTGGGTTCAAGCAGTGTTCAATTTACAAAAAACATATTCATGTGACTTATTTAGATCATTTTTCGATATCATAATGTTTCTTATGTTATGTGCATAACAGCAAGTGTTATTATGATTACAGTACGAGTACAACATGCGGCTGATAGCGTGACAAATTGTTATACGATTTTAAATCGTTAAACTAAGTGTTTTTTCAAGAGATTCCATTTGTAATAAACAATAAAGAACAGCATGCTATCAAAGATGCCTTCGAAAACAAAACAGTTGAGTCTAAAAAGTCATTGTTGTGTTTTATTGTTTTAATCCTTATACATTATTTTTCTATTTATCATATACTTATAAGTTATTTTATTATTAAATGTTCCCTTTACATAAATGTCCTGACATAAGACTCTGATATCTTAAAAGATAAAATATACAAAATTTCAAGTTAATTTGAAGATAGGAGACTGTGATGAGTTTAGTCACGCTATGTAATCACATTTACTTGACTTGAGTTCATTATACAAAATTTACATGTGATTCTTATTTAAAAAGGTCGTGTTAGAATCACGGTTTTTAAAGTGTGTTTAGTACATTATCTTTTTAATTCCACTCTCTTTCTCTCTGCAGGCTTTCTTGAATGGAATTGACCAGCTTCCATTTTTGGAACTGTCCTTTATCAATTTAAGGGATATCAAGATGAAAAATGTTAGTTAGCCGACAGTATAAAGCATGTTCACACGACACGAATGTGAAGGCTGACCTGGCTCTATACTGATTGTAAAGGCTAATCACTTCAGGTCCCATCAGGTGAGTGGTTAATTCTTGTAGAACATTTGAACTATTTTATGTCATTCACTGATAGCTATAATCTGAAAACGTTGGATATTTTTTTATTCTTGTTTAACATATCTATGAATGACAGTTTTGACATATATATTCACATTCTGAAATTGAATTCCTGAGAATATAAAACCGAAAGTCGCGACAGTAGTTATCGCAAAGACTTACTTAATGGATGTTCAAATATTTGAGCATAAATAGCAACAAAAACTTTCAGCACGATTAAAACATTTTTTATTTAGAAACCTTTATCATTGCCAGGTAAAAAATAAATATGATTGTTTGCCATTAAATAGACCTTTAACTATTGTCCTGTAATATATTTTGAAGAACAAATAGTAATCTGACATTTATTGTAAATAAGTCAACATAGACAAATGTCAATGTCGAGAAAGTGGTGTTAATGGACATTTCCAACTAATGATCACTTTGCGCAGCTTTTCAATTGTTTCTGTTGCATTCTTTCTACTCTGAATGTTTCTCCTATTCAACTGTGAAAACATTTGACATATTTTGCAATATTTTGGCTTATATCTGTCTGTAAAAGTAAGATCACCATATTATCTATAGAAATATCCTTTAGCGCGTAGATTCTTATCATAAATATTGAAAACGATTTTTATTGTTTCTTCCAGCGTTCGACAGAAACAAAACGTTCATATTCAAGAACATTATAAAAATACGTGATTAAATATAATGTACTGCCAATGTAAATTTAACTGAAATCAGAATGTAGCTGACCGATCAAAAATACAAACAGAAATGAACAGTGAGTTAACAAATCATTTTAAATGTGAAGCTTGGCTCATATGAATCAAACAGACTTTTTATTTTCAGACTTGCCAATACATGTACAACGATTTTGTTTATTAAGGTGGATAAAACTGGCTTATGAGATATCCCGCCCTCCCCTTTATATCAACGAAAATAAGATGGATATCTTAAAATTGAATGCTCGGTTCCAATGAATCTGTTCAAGAGAAAAATCAAGGTAAAAGTGCAACAAAAAATATTCAGCATATCACATACGAGCAAAGTTCTTTCAAAGTATGTCGTATTTGCTCTAACTGTTCGGTCACAAATCTAATAAACACAAAACAGCTAAAATGATAAGTTTCAAGTATAGACGCTTAGAATCCGCTTCAATACCTGTAACCACATAACTTCTGTCAACTTGCTGAGCTTTAATTGTTGGCATCATAACAAGTCTCAAAGAACGTTATATACGTAATTATTACGTGTTTCACATGAACTATGTCATTGCGTTTAGATATGTCTGTAATTACAAATCTAATAGTATGCTCTTCCATGAGGCTGATCGCGTGATATCTTAATTCATCCAGTTAATTGAACGCTATTAAGATCTAAATAAACTGCATTACAAGTAATTTGTTGCAGAACAAAGAGCAACATGTGGTATTTCATATCCATCAATTAATCAATTAATACAGATTTACTCAAAAGCCTTGTTTCATATTTCTGGAATAAAAACATATAGATAAATGCAAAAATGGATAGATTTTTATTTGTGAATTTATATAATTACGACACCTGGTAAGATAATAAAAAATATAGCCATGGGAAAATCAATAAGGGATCGGAGGAGAAACTTATCAATAGTACTTTAAGGTATTCCAGTAATACACATTTCATACTCGTGCTGAATAACCTGGCTTTCTAAAGATCAAATGCTCATTGCAAGATAAAAACACGGCAAATCAACTTTGCAGATACATTATGTATATATCATAATACGGCACAGCAATACTCCATCAAAATCTCTTAACAAAACTACCCACGTGACTGCATTAAATGTTGTGCAATAAAATGTTAATCACGCTCTTTAAAGTGTGTTTCGAAAATTGTTATGTTCTTCTATTTGTCCATCACATGCTGTATTGACATAATTACATATCAACAGTATATTTGTATATTATCAAATTTATAAGTTCATAGTAATGATAAGTTGTATCTGATTAACGTTCTATTGCCTGTAATTTAGCAACTTTCAAATACATGTAGATATACTTATTCCTGAAACTCAATTCATAGAAAACATATTTTGCGCGACAAAGTATTTTACAAGAACGACGTTTACTCTGGTAACAAATTCCCTAGGCATGGCATCGCAGGACCTTATTTCAAAGTATGCAACTTCTAAGCATAAAAAATAACAATTAAACTGATTACTACTATACAAATATTTGTTTTCAAAACAAAAAGCAAAAAAAAAAAAGGACATACTTGTAGTTACCGGTACTATCTAAGAAAAAGGTTCAATCAAAGCGAGCATGCAACATTTTCAATTGTTTGCCATTCTGAGCGTTCTTTTAGGACTCAGTCATTTTCTATTACATTGTGCGTGATACAAATTATTATGACCAAAAGTGCTGGAAGCTTTGCGAGTTGCAATATTGAACAATGTCATTACCATTCTGATATTTGTTTTGGTTGGGTTTTACGTACGTGGAACCAAAACAGTATAGGTCATAAGGCGTCTTTTCAGCTTAACTGATGGAGGAAGACCTCAGTTGCCCCTCTATGTATTATTCCAGGCACGAATGGGCACCTGAAAAGAACATCAACATTCTGTAAGCTAGCTGGATAGCTTCCTCTCACGAAAGAAAATCAAAAGTCCAAAGATTCGAACCCACACCTGAGGAGGACGACCCTAATTATGATTTCAATGTTCACTAATGTGACATGTATCAAAAGTAAACTGATGACATATCATTACTGACACTGACTGAATAGTCACTGAATTTTAAAAATGTCGCAATGATTATTTACAGTTAACTTCTATATTAGTAACTTTACTCATTACTCATGACATTGCTAATAACTATTCACAATGTTTCGTGTATAGTTTTATGCGAACATT